GCTTCCTCAACTTAATGACACATTAGGTAAGAGAAATCCAAGAACACATTTGAGGACATGGAATAACTTCTTGTAAAACCTATTTGGGAAGTAGCAAATCCTTATAATCTGTCATGTCCTAAAGTGTAATAGATTATCTCTAAGGGGTTGATAGGAGAAATGTTTAGACGTTTCCTATTTGCAGACAGTTATTTTAAATTACTTAATGGAAATCAAGTGAATAAAAGGCAGCATAAGTCATGATATTTTATTCTAATATTTAAATAAAAACATTTTACTTGAGTGGTTGAAGACATTTGCATGAAATTACTCCTGGTGCAATAATTGATATTTATAACTCTCCCTATAACTGTTATATTGCATTTTTTTCCCCTTTTTTGCCCCCTCCCCCCAATGTCTTGGAGTCTCATTTTTTGCCTATTTCAGTTATGGGACTTTTTACATAATATTAATGTAAAAATGTTTGTGTTAATGTTTATAAATTACAGTTGTAAATAAACCAGTACAGTTTGCTCAAAACTTTGTTCTTAATGACAGCGTCTCTCTCTCTTTTTCTCCCTTCCCCTCATTTGTGAATCTCCATAGACACCAGAAAAAAAATTAGAAAATTGAGGGCTTTCCTTTCAGTGGAATTTAAATGTTCATATTTCAGGTTTGAAAGTATAGATTCCCATTTCTGTTCATCTAGATGGGTTGGGAGAAGAGGTAATTTAATACTAATGACATTAAATTCAAATGCAATAAATTAAACTTCTTAACTTCTCTGAACTTCAGTTTGTTATCACCAGTTATTAGTTATGAATATTAAGTGAAAATACATTTCATTGATTGTACTAGGCACTTATGTAGCTCTTTCTCCCTTCACTGGCTCACTAACCTCAGAACTAGAATTCACTCTGGTATATTCACCTCTCAGGGACCCGCAGGATTACAGAGGCTGCAACATTCTGAAGTTGGTTTTATATTCTGTATTTTCAATTTGAGAAAACCAAGGTTCAAAGAAATTGAGTGAGTGAAAAGGGATAATATCCACTCTTCTTAACCCACTTCCTGGGAATCACTATTGCTTATTAAGGAATAAAATGAATTCTATATGTAGATATGATGCCACTTGTCCACAATAAAATATGTTTTCTAGTAGAGATGATAAATTTTTTGCCCAAAACAGTACATCCATTTTTGCCAGTGGTACATTTCACACAGGACCTTTAATTCTTTAGCATGATATTCTGACATACTAAAATAACCAGCCATAGATTGGCAGTTTTTGTTTTGTTTTTTATCCTCACCCGAGGACATTTTTCCATTTTTTGTTCAGATAGAGTGGGAGGGAGGGAGGGAGGGAGGGAGAGAGAGAGAGAGAGAGAGAGAGAGAGAGAGAGAAACATCGACGTGAAAGGGACACATCGAGTGGCTGCCACCCACACAACCAATCAGGGCCGGGGACAAACTGCAGCCGAGGTACGCGCCCTTAGCAGGAACCGAACCCGGGTCTCTCTGGACCGCAGGCCAACACTCTAACCCTGAGCCAAACCGGCCAGGGCTGTCCTCTCCCTCTTTTTCTCTGTCTCTCTAGAACTAACCTATGGTGAGGGCCCTATGCTTGTGACCTTAACCCTAATTGTCTTCTAAAAGCCCCATCTCCAAATTACCACCATATTGGTGGTTATGGTTTCAACATACAAATTTTAGGGGGGACACAAACATTGTCCATAACAATGTTTTTATCATGCAGGGTCTTGGATTTTGTCAGACTTTTTCTTTTTTTTTCATCTACTGAGATGGTCACATAGTTTTTCTTCTTTATCAATTTGGTTACATTGATTGGTTTTCTTATGTTAAACCAACCTTTTCTATTCCTGGGATAACTCCTAGTTTGTCATAGTATAAAATCCTTTTTGTGTGTTGCTGGGATCTTACTAGTTTTTTATTAGGGATTTTTTTGTATTTGTGTTCATAAGGGTTACTGATTTGTAGTTTTCTTGTGATGTCTTTGGCTTTGATGAAGATTAACTCAAAACGGATCATATAGCTAACTGTAAAATTTAAACCTATTAAACTAATAGATAAAAGTGGGGGAATTTTCATGACCTTGGATTAGACCAAGCATTATTAGATATTGCACAAAAAGTATAATCCATTGAATTTTAAAAATAAATTTGACTGTCAAAATTAAAACATTTTGCTCTGCAAATGACTGTCAATAGAATGGAACAAGCTATGTATTGGGAAAAAATTCTTGTAAAACTAATCCAACAAAGGACTTGTGTTGAGAATATATCAAGACTTCAAAACTCAACAATAAGAAAACAGCCCAATTAAAAAATGGGCAGAAGATTTGAACAAGAAGTTCAAGATACATACAGAGATGGCATTATATGTTTATAAAAAGATACTCAACATTATTAGCTGTTGGGGAAATGCAAGTCAAAGCCACATTGCCACTGCACACCTAATTAAGAGTAGCTGAACTTGAAAACAAAAGCTGACAATACCAAATGCTGGTGAGAATGTAGAACAACTAGAACATTTATACATTGCTCGTGGGAATGCAAAATGGTACAGCCACTCCAGACAAGTTTGGCAGTTTCTAATAAAGTTAAACATACATTTACCATATAACCCAGGAATCCCACTCATAGGTATTTACTGTAGAGAAATGAAAACTTAACGTTCGCACAAAAACCTGGACAAGAATGTTTTATTTTATAGCAGCTTTATAAATGCCCAAAGCTTGGAACAACCCAAATGTCCTTCAGTAGGTTAATGGATAAACAGATATGTACATCCATCCAATGTAATAATGCTTAGCGATAAAAAGGAATAACTTGTTAATCTATAACATGGGTGAATCTCAAAGGCAAAATGCCATATGAAAGAAGCACTCTCAAAATACATACTATATGATTACATTTATATTACCTTCTGGAAAAGGAAAAATTATAAAGAACAGAACTGATCAGTGGTTACCTGGGGTGAGGGAAAGGAGCAGAACAAGTGAATTTATAGGGCACTGGAACTGTTCTATATCCTGACTATTTTAGCTACATCAAAAAGGCCAGGAAATGGCCCTGGCTGGTTTTGCTCAGTGGTTAGAGCGTGGGCCCGGGGACCAATGAGTTGCAGGTTCAGTTCTGGTCAAGGGCACTACCTTGGTTGTGATTTGATTGTGATTTGTCCCTGGCCCTGTTTGGGGTCCTGTGGGAGGCAGCCACTGGACGTGTCCCTTTCATGTAGATGTTTCTCTCTCTCTCCTTCCCACTCTATCTGAACAAAAATGGAAAAATGTCCTCGGGTGAGGATAAAAAAAAAAATTAAAAAGGCCAGGAAATAAATATTCTAAAAATTATTAGCTCATAAGTTAATTCAATAGATTTTTTTTTCTTTTCTTTTAAATATGTTTTTTATTGATTTCAGAGAGAGGAAAGGAGGGTGGGGGAAGGGAGAGAAACATCACAGAGAAACACTGATTGACTGCTTCCTGCACTCCCCCTCCTGGGGATGGGGCCTGAAACCCAAGCATGTGCCCTGACTGGGAATTAAACTTGTGACTTCCTGGTGCATGGGACAACACTCAGCCAACTGAGCCACACTGGCTAGACGATTCTGTTTTCAAAATACGACATTTATTTGTGTTTTCTTAGAATTTTCATGTTCCTTTCAACTAATGTGAGAGAGAGCAAAACATCCATTGGCTGCCTCCTGCACACCCCATACCAGGGATCAAAGCTGCAACCCAGACATGTGCCCTGACTGGGAATCGAACCCACAACCTTTCAGTGCTCCAGATGACACCTAACCAACTGAGCCACACAGCCATGGCTCCTCCTCCTAGAGTTAATAATTAACTTTTTTCATATTTGCTTTATCTCAATCTAAGCACATCTTTTCTTTCTGCTGACCATTCTCCAGTCAGACATCTGACACTTCACCCCTAAATATTTAATGTTGTCTGGAATATGTACAATACCATTATCACACAAATTCGTTAAAGCATCAAATACCCAGTTCATATTTAAATGTCTCTAATTGTCCTAAAATGGTTTTAGTTTTTTAAAAACTAGGATCCATTTCAATATAATGTAAAACAGGGCACTGAAAAGAAGAGCAACTTTTTGTTTTATTTATTTTTTTATCCTCACCCGAGGACATTTTTCCATTTTTTGTTCAGGTAGAGTGGGAGGGAGAGAGAGGAACAGAGAGAGAGAGAGAAACATCGATGTGAAGGGACACACCGAGTGGCTGCCACCCGCACGACCAACCAGGGCCGGGGACAAACTGCAACCGAGGTACGCGCCCTTAGCGGGAACCGAACCAGGGTCTCTCAGGACCGCAGGCGGACGCTCTAACCGCTGAGCCAAACTGGCCAGGGCCAACTTTTTGTTTTATAATTTTTGATCCCCAAACTTGCCAAAAGCACAAACAAAACACAAAAAGCAATCCCGACTAGTAAGTGTAAATGGAAAAATTATAAAACAATATTACCCAACAGATTCCAGGACATTAGAAGACCGAATTAAGGATATCGCGTTTGAAGCCTGTTTCTCCTTTCCCCTTCCTCATTAAGAAACAGCCTTAATAGATCCCACTGCCGCCTTCAGTGCCTCCACCAAGCTGGAAAATTCCACCCCGGCCACAGCGACTTGTTCAAAGAGCCCAAGGCAATCAGCACACTACATGACCCTAGTCACAGAGCCAATCCAACCAGTAACAGATTCAGTCCTTTTGCTGAGACTCGGAGAGGCCAGTTGTTAAACATTTACCAGACGCCACCCTGATTTAGGTCGACCCCTCTTTGTCCCTTTGCCTTTCCTGGCGTTCCCTTTTCCGGGCTGTGTTTAAATTGGCCGTTTAGTCGGTCCACCCTGGCGCACACAGCGAGCGGGGATCAAGTGTTGCAAGAGTACAGCCAGAAGACCCTCCCAGGACGGCGGGCGGGGCCGGGGGCGGGGCCTCGGCAGGTCGTCCCGCCCTTTCCGGCGCGTGACGCCTCCCGTCAGTCCAAAGACGCCGCTCGACCCGCGTCGCGCATGGTGCTGCCAGGGAGAGCCATGGCCAGTAAGTAGCGCGGCCTTGGGTGCGGCGCCGGCGAGCGCTGTCCCCGCACGGTCCGTGGCCTTGCCTGAGCCGGTGTCCGCGGAGCTTGAGGCTTGGGCGAGCGGGGCAGGGAGGCGCGCTCCCGGGGTCCAGGCTTCCTGGGGCGCTGGCGAGGCCGCGGAAGCGGAGGGCCCGCGCCCTGCACCCCACTTGCCTCCTCCTGCGGGACGTCCCGTAAGGCAGCGCTTGTAGGTGAGTTTCAGAGCCGCCTACAACAGATTCACCTGCGCGGGAGGGGCGGGTGCTCATGTAAAATGCAAGTCCCGCCCCTTCAAAGACTACATTTTCAGTAAAGCCTTCTGTAATTATACTAGTTATGATCCTTCTTCAAGTGTGAGAGCCTCTGCCCTGTGGAATTCTTGGAGACAAGCTTTGCACCAGAAGCGGGACTGCCAGACGGATTGCTTTCACCTGAGGTTGATTTTTGAACTTGGGTTTTACAAAGGCATCGGCCCTAATTATTTGTGGCTTGAGCCCTATCACGTGAAACTGAAGCACTTGTTTTCTTTGAGCTGCGTGGTAAAAGGACTGGATCATGTGCTCCACATTGCCCCCCCCCCCCCCACACACACACACACAAACAAACACCCATGAGCATAAAACTGGGCAAGTAGTTTCTGCATGCATCTGGACATTGAGCTTTCAGGTTGGGCATTACATGTTAGTTCCACATCACCATCCTGGATCAGCCCCAGGGGTGAGGCTGCCCCCAGGCCTGTGCCATATTCCTTTCCATGAGGCAGTGGAGTGTTCTGGACCCACAGTCTGGAGACCTGGATTATTAGTCTTGATTCAGTCAGTAGCTTCCCATGTCAACAAGTCATTTAATCTCTCTGGACATAACTGTCCCTACATGGGAGCCTTCTGAGGCTCCCATGAGATAATATGTGGAAATTTGTGGGCATGCTCTTTGTTTTTCATTTCAACCTAAAGTGCAGTGCAAGTTGGTGGCTGAATGGTTGTTCAGGATGAGATATAGAAGTTCTTTTATGCACCCTCTAGATGTGACTGGTATCTTTGAAGAGGCAGGGCATGGCAGGCTGATGGACTTTCGAGCTTTGGTTCTTAATGCTGTCCATCTGACTTCCTTGAGGAGTGTTTTCAAGTTATATGCACCCCCCACTACATACACACACAACAAACAAACAAACAAGGTGCCCACCCTGCTTTACAGTTACAGATTTGGACTTGGGTTGTTGCTCTGCCATTGACTCTGTTCACTGACTTGGTGCAGCTTTCCCGTTGCAAACTTCTTGTTTCCTCATTTACAAAATAATGTTAATAAAACCTCACACATGCTCAGATGTGTAAAAGAGCTGGTACACTACTTATGTTGTTGTTCCTATGTTGGTCTTTGCACTTAATTATATTTTATCCTGCCACCCCCCCCCCCCATTAAGACCACACTGACTATTAGGGCAGCCAGGGACTTACAAAATCATTGTATTTGCATTTTACAGCCTAAGAGATAACGTGACTAGTACTCCCCAGTGGTGAATTTCCTGCTGCAAACCCTCTGTGGAGTGGGTGATTTGCAGAATGTCAGGCAATCCCAAGCATGATTCAGGACAGCTGCCTTTCTGGTGGGATGGGAAAGAGGGGAAGCCAGTAACTGCCATTTTGACTTCATCCCCCACCCCCAAAACAGAGAGAACGCCTGGCTTCTGAGTTACAGTGGAGACCTGTAGTGGGTCTGTGTGATAGTCTGATAATGTTCTAGACATAATCTGTTTGTCCCAAAGTAATCCCAGCTTTTGTTCCCTATTTTAATTTCCTTTGTTTTCATACAGATTCTGAAATAAAAAAGCTGCATTCAGGGTTAAATTTAGCCCTTCTCATTATATGTAGGATAAACCAAGGACTGGGATCTTTGCATTTTTCTTTTAGGGTTAATCCTGAGCCATTTGGGCCTTCCTCAAAGTCCAGGTCTGTCAGCACCTCTCCTGAGGACATTCGCACTGTAACAGGAGGTGCCTGGAGTGGGAACTCTCTGATGGTGGGGTTTTCAGACTGTAGAGCAGAGGTTGGAAGCCAGGGCAGGGCATTACTGCTAATTCTCAGACTTCTGCAGAGCATTGTAGGTTACAACGTGCCTTGGATCCTTTAGTGCAGCCTCCCCTCAGACCATAAGCAAAAGCTGATGCATTGTGTCCCAGCCCGTAATGGGGAACTTGAGACAGGCATCCCCCCTCCCTGTGGGCCGACTGCCCCATTCACAGAGGTATTGCACATCCTGTGCCAGCATGCACGCAGTTACCTGGATCAGGCCGGCTGAGGCCCAAGATGTAGGGGATAATTCTGTATTCAAATTTAGTTGCCTTCTTTTAAGCTCGTTGGTAAGTAAAAAGCTGCCCCTGCCTACTTCACTTCAGGTTCTTGTGCTTGGCATGGGGCTTTGCCCATGGCTGTTGCTGTATCTCAGGATTTCTCCACATTGCCATTATGGACATTTTGGACTGGATAATTTGTTGTGAGGGACTGCCCTATACATTGTGGCATGTTTAGATGTCTATGACCTCTTCCCATTAGATGCCAGTAGCACCCCACCAGCTGTGACAATGAAGAATGTCTCCAGACATTGCTAGATGCCCTGAGAGGCAAAGCAGCCCTCCGGTTGAGAACTGCTGCTCTGATTCAGCAGGCAGATCATCTGACAACTGTTTTCTCTTCATCCTCAGCTTTCCGCTTGGCCCTCATTCAACTTCACGTTTCTTCCATCAAATCCGATAATCTCACTCGAGCTTGTGGCCTTGTCCGGAAGGCAGCCACACAAGGAGCAAACATAGTTTCTCTGCCAGTAAGTATGGAGGCAGCACCCCTTTCTGGGAACTGTTGGCCCAGCAGAATAATGTCTGCAACTCTGGTTTTCCTTTTGTGTCCCAGGTCCAGCAAGGTCCTTTGGGGCCCAGGATTGTCCTGTGTTTGTCCAGGAGATGACCCTAGTAGAGGCCTTTGTGATAGGATGTGCCCACATGGTTACAGGTCTTTAACTTGAAGACCACCTACTTTGTTCAGAATGCTAATAGGTTGAGGGACTTAACCTAAAGCTGAAATATTCTCTATATTGTATATTTCCCTTCCTTCCTTATATAATTCTCTTTTTTGTGTTTTCTAATCCTCATCTGAGGATATGATTTGTTTTTTGTTTTTTTTTTGGATATTTAGAGAGAGGAGAAGGGCGCGAGAGAGAAGCATCGATTGGTTGCCTCCCGCCACCACCCCGACTGGGGATTGAACCCACAACCTAGTTATATGCCCTGACTGGGAATCGAACTTGTAGCCTTTTGATGTACAGGATGATGCTCTAATTCACTGAGCCACCTGGCCAAGGCTCCTTGTATAGTTCTTTACAGGACCAGGATGTATTGACTTTAGTGGTAAGCCTGCAACATTTTTTTTGTTGTTGTTACGTGCCCCTAGTGGGAACCGAACTCGGGACTCTCTGGTCCGCAGGCTGACGCTCCAATCGCTGAGCCAAACCGGCCAGGGCGCCTGCAACATTTAAAAAAAAAGTTGTTAGAGACATTTAGGAAGCCTGTGGTATCTTCCTAAATGTAGTGGCCTGTATAGTAAGCCAGTAGGACTTTGCATCTCTCTCTCCTAGATGATTTCTTTGAAAACAGAATCAGCTGAAGGTTACACCATATTTGTTTGTCAGCAAGTAGGGAGTTAGCTCCAGAGAAGGATCTGCTGGATTGGTGGTGGAACTATTCCAGACAGCCCTTCCCTACTCTCCCTCTCCCTCTGTGGGGAGGAGGCAGTCATTTGAAAACCCTGCTTAGATTGGCTGGAGAATTTTCAGGGCCACTTTGTATTTTGGGCTCCAGGCCTTCACAGATGTGGCCAGTGAGTAGGAATCTGGAACAGAGGGGCTTGAGGTGTTAAGGTTAATCCAGTCTTTGTTACTGCTCCAGTCATGGGACTCCCCTGTACCCTAGTCTTGGTCTCTTGTGGGTTTATGTTACCCAGGATCAGAGTCTAAAGACCAGGAGTCAAAGACAGGTGCCCTTTTATCTGACATGTGACTTGTACAAGCTGGTGGTCCTCTGGCTGGAGTTTCCCAGCACAGTGTGTGGTGCACAGGCAGTCTCAGTAAATGTGAAGTGAATGAGTCAGAGTCAAAGGCTAGTCATTCTTGCTTTTCTTTTATCACAGAGCTGTTGAAGACAGACAGACCCTGGGGAATGAGAGATTTTGCGGGATCATAATGATGGTGCTGGAAGGGAGCTTAGACACAGTTCATTTTACAGATGAGGAAATATCTTAACTTCTGTGGCTTTCAAAGCCTCTGTGTTTTTTTCAAACACATGCTTTATTGCTTTACACAGTTAATATAATTTTGAGCCTGTGGATTCATCCTAACACCTGCAGTCCTATGAGTAAGCCCAGTTGTAGTGGGGCCTGGGCACCCTGGGGACGCGTAGTTCTCCTGCAGACTTGAGGAGGGAGCACACGTGACTTGTCTCCTCTAGCCCCACCAGAGCCAGCCGACGAGTCCTACCTATGGCTACAGGCTCTGTAGCCTTTGGACCTCAGTGTTGTTTTTAGCAGCTGAGTTTTACCCTTTTGAGAGCAGAACTGGGAGCAGCAGCTATGTCTTACAGCAGAACTTTAAAATGGGTTGGGTGTTTAGATGTTTTTTTTTTTCACTTTTTCTCTGCCAATATTATTCTAGGAATGCTTTAATTCTCCCTATGGCACAAACTATTTTCCTGAATATGCAGAGAAAATTCCCGGTGAATCCACACAGAAGCTTTCAGAAGTAGCAAAGGAGTGCAGCATATATCTCATTGGAGGTAACTTCCTACTCTCAAGGTATAATGACCTAAACATTAAAAACATATGAATAATTTCTGTTGTTACATTTAAATGATAGAATACAAATTAGCCATTGAAAAGAATGAGATAGATCTGTATGTAGTAAAGTGGAGATCTCTTCCAGACCCACAGTTAAGTGGAAAAAAGAGCTAGTTTGATATACTGTGAACAGGTACTCCAATTCAGATTATGCCCCCACAAAAAGGTTATTGATTTTTATATGAAGCTATGTATGTAAGATGGTCAGTGTTGTAGAAGGACACAATCCAAACTGATAATGATGATTTTCCCGGGAGAAGGAGTGGGGAGTGAAGGGCCAGGTGGAAATGTGGAAAGAAAAACCATATCTGAGTGTTTTCCATTATGCTCATACCGGGTTAAGAAAATTTTGTTCTTAAAGAGGCTACATACATCAAGATAGCTTTATGTGGTTTTGAAATAAATTTTAAAATGTCTCATTTGCTTAAACAAAAAAAAATCCGTACAGTAAAACTGTTTAATGAATACAGCAAATAAAATTATTTCTGTATTCTGCTGTATTAAGAATTAGAAATGAGTAAGAGGTGGAGAAAAGAAGGCAGAGCAAGAGGAGACACACTGGGAACTACACGCAGTGATGGGAATGTGTGACTTACATTCCATCTTGAGGCCTTGTTGGGCACAGCTATAGTGCAGGAACCCTGGTGAATTTAAGTGGAGCAACAGTGAATTCCTCATGTTGTTTCAGTGTTTTAGATTAAATTTTGCTCAAGGTCAAAGCTGAATTCAGAAACAGTTTGGATATTTTTGAAACCTGTCTTTAGCATCTGACCTAGTTATATTTTATCTACACTCTGGAGTTTATCTCTGAGTGTATTTAAGAAGGAAAACAACTGATTAAATGACCCTTAGAAGATAGTAAACTTTATTATTGGACCCGAGTGACAGTTTATCAAGCCTTTGTCCAGTTCCAAAAGAATGCTTTATTCAGAATGTTTTCTGTGCCTGTGTGTTTCTCCTCTCCATAAAAGGTTCCATTCCTGAAGAGGATTCTGGGAAATTATATAACACCTGTGCCGTGTTTGGGCCTGATGGAGATTTACTGGTAAAGCACAGAAAGGTAAGTAGGGAATTTTGCAAGTCTCACTGGCTCTTGAGAATTTACTGTAAAGTCCTCTAGTCACTCCCTTTGTATTGTACACACATCAGGCATTTCAACTGGTGGCACTGAACCCAGAATTCTGTGGTCTGCGTGCCGACACTAACCACTGAGCGAAACCGGCCTGGGTGGCTTTTGGCATTTTGATAAAAAGTTTAGACTCAGCCTGTCAATTTCAGCCAAAAAAAAACAGGAATTTTCATTAGAATTGCATTGAATATATAGAGACCTAATTGGGGAGAGTTGACATCTTTGCAGTAGTAAATGCATATACATTTAGGATTGTTAAGTCTTCCTGGTAAGTTCTTCCTTTTATTGTTATGAAATGTCTGGGTTTTATTCCTTGTAATACTCTGTCTTGAAGCTAATTTTAGCTCTGATAATACTGTAGCTACTCTTCTTATACTTATTGTTTGTGTGGTGCATCTTTTTTTAATGTTTTATTTTCAACCTGTATGTGTCTTTATACTTAAAATTCATAGAAAGCGTGTAGTTGAGTTTTGCTTTTTTATTCATTTTGACAATCTCTGCCTTTTAACTGGAATGGTCACTCCATTTATAGTTAATATAATTATTGATATGGTTGGATTTAAGCATATAGACATTTTACTGTTTTTTTCTCTTGTTCTTCTTTTCTGCATTGTTTGGGGTTGAGTATTTTTTAGAATTCCATTTTAATTTATCTATTGCCTTTTTTTTTATCCTCACCCGAGGACATTTTTGCATGTATCTTCAGATAGAGTGGGAGGGAGAGAGAGAGAGAAACATCGATGTGAGAGAGACACATCAAATGGCTGCCACCCACACGACCCCAACTGGGACCAGGGACAAACTGTAACCGAGGTACATGCCCTTAGTGGGAACTGAACCTGGGACTGTCCGTTCTGCGGGCTGACTCTAACTGCTGAGCCAGACTAGCCAGGGCTATCTATTGGCTTTTAAATTATACATCTTAGCTATTTTTTAAAAAGTTTTTGCCCTAGGCATTACAGTAAGCACACTTATCTTGTCACAGTATACTTAGAGTTCATATTATACTACTTCATATGAAATCTCTACCTCATATTGTATCTATGTACATTGTAAATTCCACAAAACACTTATTTTTTGAGTAGCATGTATTTTAAAGAAAAGAGAAAACTTTTTTATGTTTACTCATATATTTACCATTTCTGGTATTTTTCTTTTCTTCCTGAAGATCCTAGTTCTTATCTGGTATTTTTACTTTCAAACAGAAAGACCTCCTTTAGCTTTTTTGTAGTGAGGATCTACTAACCATAAATTTTCTTAATTTTCGTTTATGCACATATCTTTAGTTTGCCTTTATTCTTGACATTTTTGGTAGAATAGAATTCTGGATTGTCAGTTTTCTTTTTCCTTCAGCAGTTTGAGAGATGTTATTCAGTTATCTTCTAGCCTCTTTATTTATTTTCTTCTGGTAAGAAGTCAGTGGTAATTTGTTTCATTGTTCCCTCTCTGTAACTTGAGTTTTTATCTGCTTGCCTTCAAGATTTTTTTTGTAATCTTTAGTTGGTAATATTTTGTTTCTGATGTGCCTAGGTGGTTTTCTTTGTATTTGTCTTGCTTTGTGCCTCTTGAATCTGTATATTTAAGTATTTTACCATATGTGGGAAATTTGGGGGCATGATTTTGTTAAAGATTTTTCTGACCCATTCTCTTCTTAATAGGATTCCAGTTTTGATACTGTTCCTCCAAACCAGGTCATCAAGGCTCTGATTCTTTGTTTTTATTTTTCCATCCTTTTTTCTTTCTCTTCTTCAAATTGAACAATTTCCACTGATCCATCTTCAAGTTCACTGAGTCTTTCTTTTGGTTTTGTTGTTGTTTTTATTGATATTTTTTTTTAGAGAAGAAGGGAGAGATAGAAATATCGATGTGAGAAACATTAATTGGCTACCTCCTGCATGCCGCCTACTGGGGATCAAGCCTGAAACCCCAGCATGTGCCATGAAACCGAACCCAGACCTCTCAGTCCATGGGATGACGCGATGACACACAATCCACTGAGGCTGCCTTTTGTAATCGCTCATCTCCTATAAGCCAACCCAGTGAAATTTTTTTTAAATTTCAGATAGTGAAATTTTCAGTTCTAAAATTTTCATTTGGTTGTTTATTATAGCTTTTATTTCTCTACTAATGTTTCTATTTGTTTAATTCATTAAGAGCATCTTTTTCTTCATACGTTTAAGCTTAGTTTCAGTAGCTGCTTTAAAGTCTTTGGTAATCACCACATCTGGGTCATGTTGGGATGTGCTCCATTGATAACCTTTTCTTTAGAACTTTGTTCATATTTTCCTGTTTCTTTGTGTGTCTAGTAATTTTTAATTGTATATTAGATTCTATTTTCTCGAGATGCCAGCTCTTATAATATTTCCCTGAAAAGTATTGAATTTTCTTTGTTTTTGTGAGTAGTTGACTTGACTGTACTCAAATACCCAATTCTTCTTCCTGTGTGAGATGAGCATCAACTTTAGCTGCTCTTTTCTGTCTCAAGTTGTTTAGCTGGGATGCTTGGAGTCTGCCCCACACATCTTTAATTCAGTGGTTAGCCAGAGATTTTGGCAATTGTATATGTAGAATTTAGGGCTCTTCCTTTCTGGCTTTATCCTTTTCAAGATTTCCCCCTCAGTTTCCAGCTGCTGTGCAACTGTCTTCTGGTTCCTAAAGCCAGTGTGATTGTGGGTAGTTTCCCCCACTACTCCCAGCAACAACTGGGGCCTTGCTTCCCACCAAGAGCAGTAAACAGATGGGACACTCGCACAGTGCTCGTTTCTTCTTTCAAGTATTGACTTCCCTTTGTTTTTTTCCTGATTTTTCTCACTCTCCAGTGCTTTTTATTTTGTCCCGAGTTCATAGTTACTTATGAGAAAGCTGATAGGTCCAAGAGGAGCCATTCTGCCATTCCTGGAAGAGGAGCCAGCATTGAGCTATTAACTCCGTTCTTTGAGGTGCATGTACGTCCATGATACAGCATATCTCCCTCCATTTATTTAGGCTTTTAAAACTTTCAAATAGTTTTTATAGATTTGGAGTATAATCTTTTATATCATTTGCTAGATTTATTCTTCATGGATGGTTCTTGATGCCCTTTCATTTTCTGTTTCTTAGTATGTATAGAAGTACAGCTAATTATAAAGATATTGACCTTGTACATACATAGTAACCTTGCTAAAGTCACTCATTAATTCTTATAATTCATCTGTAGGTTTCCTTTGGGGTTTCTAGGTATACAGTTATATCATTTGAAAGTAATGACAGATTTAATTATTTTTTCTTCCTAATCCTTATACTTTTTATTCCTTTCTTAAGCCTTTTGTTTTGGTTAGGACCTCTGATAGAGTATTGAATAGCAGGTGTCCTTGCCTTGTTTCTGATCTGAATAGGAGAAGGCTTCTAATGTCACCATTAGGTTCAATGTTTATGTAGTGTCTTTTTGTTTTTGTTTTTTAAGATATTCTTTGTCAGATTAAGGAAATTCTCTTCCTGGGGGAGTTTTTCTTTTTTGGTTTTAGACTAGAATGGAGCCCTGGCCGATTTTACTCAGTGGTTAGAGCATCAGCCCAAGGACCAGAGAGTCACAGGTTCAGTTCTGGTCAAGGGCACGTACCTCAGTTGCAGTTGGGTCCCTGACCCCAGGGCTTTGTGGGAGGCAACCAGTCAGTGTGTCTCTCTCACATTGATGTGTCTCTCTCTCTCCCTCCCTCCCACTCTTTCTGAAGGTAAATAAAAGAAAATATCTTTGGGTGAGGATTTAAAAAAATAAAATAAAAACAAATAGAATAAGAATGGATGTAGAGGCTTATCAGATGCTCACTATGCACCTCTCAAGATGCTCACATGACTTTTCTCCTCTATTTTGTTAGTATGATAAAATCAAATTTGGAAGGGATATGTTGTTCTGTTTATAAATTGCTGCATTTGGTTTGCAAAATTGTACCTATTAATCACTCACCCACTCTCTACCTCTCCTGCCAACATGTCAATTTAACTCAGGTCCTGAGGAGTCTTCTTTTAGCATTTATACTGAGTAAAAAAGCAACACATTAATTGCTTCCCATAAGAAACCTAGAAATTAATTTATACATCACCTAGGAAAGAAGGGTCATAGAATCTACAGTATCATTTCCCATTTCCTGTGTTAGAATTCATTTTGATAAAGTGTCAGGTTGTAGGATGGGTTGTGGTCATGTTGCGGGTACTGTTTGTACAGATCATCGATCACCCGCATATCTGGCCGTGAACAGATGTTTGTTTTTATTGCTGTGAACCCCTTTGGAAAAGAGGTAACCAAAGCCCTTATTTGTGCTGCAGCTCCATCTGTTTGACATCGATGTTCCTGGGAAAATCACATTTCAAGAATCTAAAACATTGAGTCCTGGTGATAGTTTCTCCACATTTGAGACTCGTACGTACCAGAAAATCCACCTCTGTAAGCAGTCCCAGTAGAAGAGGATCAGGCGTTCCTTTGTTTTTTTCTTATGTGCCTCCCTAATTTCTTTATATAACCTGAATAAAGACCACAAGTGAGAAGGGCAGAGGATGGTCAGAGATCTGGAAAGGGTGGGCTGAATGGAGAACGAGGGGTTTGACATGAATTTGCTCTTCCATTTGGTCACAGCCTCCTGTTAGTATTAGAGCTTTCAGAGTGCATCTGTGAGGTCGTGATTGAACACCTCTCACTTAGATAATAAGCATTCAGTTAGAATGAATTTCTCATCTCTACTCTGGACGTAAATGATGTCTTTATGAGGTGACTCCGAGCAGGAATAAGCTTATAAATCTTCTCCACCATGGGCCCTGTGTTACTGTCTCCCCGTCAGTGTTTTGTGATCATTAGCTCAGGAGGCTTTACCCTGCCACCCCATGCTGCAGGCTAACTTTTCGTTTGTACGTTTTCTGTTTGTGAACAGCTTACTGCAGAGTGGGCCTGGGCATCTGCTATGACATTCGCTTTGCAGAGCTTGCACAAGTCTACGCGCAGAAAGGTGAGGCGGCACAGGAGGTGTGTTGTGTGGGTGCTTGGCGGTTTGCATCTGGGTAGAGGAGCCTTGAGTCAGAAAAGCCGGAGGAGAGATCTTAATCTGCTCACCACGCTGGGCTTCTCAGACTTTTGCTGCATATGGAAAACCTGGTTTTTCAGAGGTGGTGATTTAGCACGCTATTGCAGCTAAGCAGGAGCTGGACTCTTAAACTTCTGCTCTACCTTAGAGCCCTTCTTGCTACTGTGTTTGGAAAGAGTCCCTGGGAACCCCGTAGAAATGAAAACATGGTCTGTGCCCTCATGGATTTCCCCCTGCAGGAGTCCCAGATGCTGTGTACAGTGGAAAGTAGTCAGTGACATTTGGGTCCAGAGAAAAGGTATCCTACCATTCAGGAAGAGCTCCGAACCAGTTATATCTGGATTCTGGTTCCAGCTCTTCCCCTGATTGGCATGATACTTCGGGTAAATTATGTAGTCTCTATAGCAGTGTGGATCTCAGTTTTCTCATAGGGATGGTGTGAGATTAAGGGGAGAGAACGTATTAAAGCTCCTTGTACGGTGCTCAACAAGTATTAGCAGTTCCACCAGACTGCCGGAGCTACTCTGATTCCCGCTCGACTGGCACTTGGCAGAGTGAGGGGGACACAGGCAGCACCTGCTCGGCGGAGGGCAGAGGCGCACAGGCCCTGGGTCAGCAGGCTCTGTGGAGTCCAGTTGCCGAGCATTGAAGCCCCTCCTCTGCCCCTCATTTCACTCGAAAGCACCACAGAACATGGTCTTTGGCCTTGCAGAGCTGGCCACGTGGTGCTGAGAGAAATCTGAATGACAGTTCTCCACTTTTTTAAGTGAAACCACATGTTGTAGTTTTGGTTATCACTACCACTTTTCTTGTGTGTCCGCCTGTGTCTCTGAAAAAGCTCAGAGCCATAGCCATGCTGCTGACACTGTCTGACATCTTTTTGTGCGTGAGAAAGTTGGGGTTTAGTCCCCACTGGGTGGAGAACAAAGAGGGGACTAGTGTGGTTGGGTGTTCCTTTGCACCGACTCTTCAGCCTCTCTCGCCCAAGGCTGCCAGCTGTTGGTGTATCCTGGAGCTTTTAATCTGACCACGGGACCAGCTCACTGGGAGTTGCTTCAGCGAGGCCGGTAAGAGAGCTTATCACACACACTTCAAGCATCTCGGTGTTTCTTTGTGGAAAGATTTCAGTGTGATGGCAGTGCCGACCTTCCTGATATGGAATGGTGCCGGTAACTCAGAACACTGCAACATCCAAACGAGTTTTGACATGATGAACCTTTTCATCTTTCAGCCCAAAGGGAAGGCTTCTGCTGGGAACCTTCTCTTTGGAAGCTGCAGCACCACCGTCTTAGAGTTTTGGGACTGTGATTTTTGCTTTTTTTTTTTTTTATCCTTACCCAAGGACATGTTTTTCCATTTTTTTGTTCAGATAGAGTGGGAGGGAGAGAGAGGAAGAGAGAGAGAAACATCGATGTGAAAGGGACACATCGAGTGGTTGCCACCCGCACGACCAACCAGGGCCAGGGACAAACTGCAACTGAGACACGCACCCTCAGTGGGAACCGAACCCGGGTCTCTCCGGACTGCAGGCTGATGCTCTAACCGCTGAGCCAAACCGGCCAGGGCTGATTTTTGCATTTCTAAGAGCATTTAGTGCATCAAGTGGGAGTGATTTTATTTGCTGTGATTAGATGTGGGCTGGTGTCTCGGACAGTTGCCGGCAACTTCCTCAGAGAATCGGAGACCCGTGGAGTGTGTGCATTCAGAGCCCAGAAGCCAAGGAAAAGCGGGGGTTGTTTGAGCCTGACAGCCCTGGGAGAGGTTTATGGTCTTCACACAGCTGACCCTGTGTTGTTCAGATTGGGTTACTTATCCCACCCCAACTTCCACAGCAGCTTGCCAGTCCCAGGGGTGCCTATGGACAACCTGGCTTTTCAGAGGTGGTGAATCTTTTCATCTTTCAGCCCAAAGGGAAGGCTTCTGCTGGGAACCTTCTCTTTGGAAGCTGCAGCACCACCTGTTTCTTGATTAAATGTTTTTTTAATTGAGGTGTAAGATACTTACAGAAAAATGCACTGATTTTAAGTCTACAGTGAATGTTTACATACAAACCACCTACGACCAAGATGAGCATAGCGAATATTTCCAATCCCTAGATCCCTTTTGCTCCTTCCCAGTCAGTGCTCTTCTCTCTGCACCCAGAGGTTGCCGCCCTTCTCTCTCGTAGAGATGATGATGATATTTATTGCCAGGGATGTAGAGGAGTTTGCGTGGTTGCTTGGTAGAAGGTGGGGTAGGGATATGTGTACCGTGAGTGTTAATAAATGCAGTCTCTTAGCACGAAAAGCTTGGGAGAGACTGGCATGTCTTGTCATGGATCTGGACTGAGCCCATAGGGCTCCCAGGTGAGGTGGCTTGATGTACCCAGGCTGCCACCTGAAATTCTGATCGAATTTGAGATGATGGGAGTGCCATGCAGCCCTGCAAGGTGTATTGCCCCTCTGGCTCCAGCAGCCTTGAATTGCATTAACCAGAGAAGCTATTTTACTGGTTGGCTCAAGCCAGGGTCTCGCCACTGTGGCAGTATAAACACTTGGACCCGAGAATTCTGTTGTAGGAGCTGTCCTGTGCATTGCAGGGTAGTGAGCTGCATTGCTGGCCTCCACCCATTGGATGCCAACAGCATCCCCCTAGTAACAATCAGAAAGGTCTCTAGACACTGGCAAATGTCCCCTGCTGGCCAAAATTGCCACAATGAGAACTGGCTGGAGTAATAAGATAATTTTTTTTTTTTTTTTTTATCCTCACCCGAGGACATTTTTCCATTTTTTGTACAGATAGCGTGGGAGGGAGAGAGAGGAAGAGAGAGAGCGAGAGAAACATCGATGTGAAAGGGACACATCGAGTGGCTGCCACCCGCACGACCAACCAGGGCCGGGGACAAACTACAACCGAGGTACACGCCCTTAGCGGGAACCGAACCCGGGTCTCTCAGGACCGCAGGCCAACGCTCTAACCGCTGAGTCAAACTGGCCAGGGCTAATAAGATAATTTTTGAAGAAAGGGTTCCATGGCTTTGGGTGTTTCCTCCACATCTGAGCCAGTCTGTGCTTCTAGTTCTATGAGCCAGTTCTAGTTTTTAAAAGAGGGATGGAACACCAAGAAGAGGAAAATGCCTCAGATCTGTGATGTATGGTTTACCTGTTTTCTATCCTTTGACTGCAGGGCTGTTGATAATCAGGTGTATGTGGCCACGGCATCTCCTGCTCGAGATGACAAAGCCTCCTATGTTGCCTGGGGACACAGCACTGTCGTGAGTCCTTGGTGAGTGGCCTAAGCAGCGACAGGCTCACTAGGAGCTCGAGAGAGATGGCACTTGAGCAGGTGGGTTGTCTGATTGGTGACTGGCCGTCCCCCACCCCGGGGCCCTGTGTGCCTACCAGGTCTCTGCCTCTCTCAGTGAGGAAGCTTCCACTTAAAAACTACTGAGAATGAAATGGTCTTGCTCTCTTGACTGTTTGGTCTTAGTCCTCTTTTGACTTTCTGTTGTCAGCTAGACTTGGGTCATGGATGTAGGGGAAATGAGGCAGCAGTTTCTCATTAGACTGAGTTTCTGGGGCCTTGGGCAGGAATGAGTTACAGAGCGAGGATTTTGCTCCCCGAATAATTAGCAGGAGAGTGTTCAATTAAGGGAAAGAATGAATTTGTCCTCTGTAAGAGGCAGAGCACTTCATTGCTCAGTGAAACCAGCATGAAGGCCTGTCCATGTACACACGCATGTATCATACACATATCGGTGTCTGCCTCTGCACAGTATACATAGCACTTCCCACACATGGTCTGTTTGACCTCCGGGACCTCTGTCAAGCCCAGTTTATAGGTGATAGAATTGAAGTTCATGGGCTAGAATTGGTATTTGGATCCAGGATGTTGACTTCAGAACTTGGACTTATGCCATACTACTTCCTATGCATCTGTATGATCACACGCAAACACACACATGCATGCGTTAGTATTTCTGCAGTTTCAGATAAACATAATAGTGACAAGTGTGAGAAAGGTCACTTATCACTGTGGGGTCCCTATAGGTTCTCTCTTCTGACTTTGTAGGACCCACAGATTAAAGTGTGTGGTAAGAGAAGGCCTTGAAAATTGGACCAGTGAGTGATCCCCAGCGAACCTCCTGCACATGAGGATTTGAGGGCCTTGGGAGACGAAGGATTACATTGACTTGAAAATTTTCTCAGACGTGACTCAAGTTCCCCTGCGCAGATGTTAGAGATAACATCTCTTGGGCACCTTCGCTTCCCCTCTAGTTCTCCTGAGGAACTCTCTTACTGATCAGGCTGGCTGCTTCTCACACAAAGTAGCTGTATAAGATTTACCTTCATTTCTTCCTTTTCAGAACTTCATCTGTTGGGTTTGAGGGCCTTCTGACTTACATTGACTTTGGGGTGGGTACCTGGGGTTAACATAGAGCGAAATCTTTGAATTGCCAGGGCACTTGGGGACGAAAGAGAAAAGAATTGAAAGGGATTCAGTTACATGGCATTAATAATTGTGCTTGTAGCTCATTTGTGCCAAATCTGTGTTTGGCCAACTGGTAAACAAAACTAGTTATTATGTCAGATTATTTTGTTTCATGCTTTGGAGAGATTGAGTTTTACTGGACATGTGTTTGAACCCCTTCTGTGGGCCGTAGACACAGCCCTGGAAATAATTCCCAGATCAGCCTTTTGCCCATTTATGAAGGAGTGTCACTGTTTCCAAGTGTGGGGCTCCTGCCAGGGTGTGGCTTCCCCAGCACTTCTCAGACCCATAGGTTGGAACTTTTCCTTAAAAAACTGAAGGCCATTAATGTAGGGACGCAGGGATCACAGGCATAAGGCCCGAGATCCACGCAGGTCTGGGTGGAGCCCAGGCCCTGCTCATCATCCCAGGGCTGGGGAGCAGCCTTTGGAGATGTGAAGAAGCAGAGCCAGACCACCCTTGCCAGGGCTCCTGTTGACATGCATTCATGAGGGCACAGGATGGGACTTCTTGTTGTTTTTAGGTGGCTCTGTCCCCATATGTTTACATTGTGGAATAAGAAGCTAGGAGTTTGCAATTTAGAAAACATACTCCATAATTTTCTCCCTACGTCCTAGCAGAGCTCCTGTTTCCTCTTTATAAATGGAGGTGACTTGTCCCGAGGCCACACAGCTACTTAAATAGTAGAACAGGAGTTTATACCCCTACTTTCTGGTTTTAAATCTCAGATTCCTTGTTCTTGGGCCTGTTTGTTAGATGGGGAGGAAAATCAGAGAGATGTCTTGGATATCAGCAAAAGTCAGTGAACCCACTTCTTCTCTCCTGAATCTTTTTCAGGGGGGAGGTCCTGGCCAAAGCCGGCACTGAAGAAACGATCGTGTATTCAGACATAGGTAAGATCGCCCAGCTCAAGTCGGGTCTCTGGTGTCCCCCGTGCTCTGAGGCCAGATGCACAGCTGGTGTAGGCCCTAACACCTGAGGAGTTCCTTGTCCCCCACCTCCCACCCCCAATCTGTCTTTAGTTCTTGGCCAAGACCTGAGGGCTACAGTTCAGCTTGAGTTTTTTTTATTTGGTTTGAAGTGACTCCAGGGGCCGAGCCAGGCTGTCTGTGCCCCTAGATAAGGCCTAGATTACTGAGTTACTTTCTGGGGCTCTGGTGGTTTTTATACTGTTTGAGGGAAAAAATCCCTTTGGTTACTGAAGAGGTACATCTGATTAATAGTGAACTTTCCTGTTTTTGCAGACTTGAAGAAGGTGGCTGAAATACGCCAGCAAATCCCCATTTTTAGCCAGAAGCGATCAGACCTCTATGCAGTGGAGGCAAAAAAGCCCTAAGGTTTATATTTCCAACGTGTCACAAAGTGGGAAGTATGTTTCTTCAACATCATCAGTTCCCTGCTGAATTCTTCAATGTGGACCCCTTTAATTTTTTATTTTAATGTCGACCCTCCCTTCCTGGGAACTCTGTGGAGATGATGGAACTGCAGCACCTGACCTTCCCACAGTACATGAAACAGTCACCAAGGGCTCAGGCCGGCAGGGAAGAGCAGAGGGGAGGGATGGCTCCGAGGCCTGTTGCCTATGTAAATTGCCTCAGAGACGCTGTGAAAGTATCAGATTTGGATATTCTGGTGGTTGATTCACCTGACACAAATGTATTTGTCATATAAACCTCTTATCTTGTTGCTGGAATTGGAATCCCTTATGTAGAATACGGGTGCACTCTTTTCCCAGCAGTACCTTAAATTTACATTTTGGGCCTGTGAGTAGCTGTGGGAAGCAGGATGTTTGCAGGAGGAAATGGCAGCCCCTGTAGCAGCCTTCAAGGGGGAGCTGAAGAGCCAACCCCAAAGCCACCTGGTGTCAACAGTGAGCCCAGGGGACATGGCAGTGGCAGCATTTGTGTTGTGCAGGCAACTAAAGTATGTCTCTGCAAAAGTGTTTTTGTTTTTCCTAAGAGATTTTTTAAAAATTTGTTTTATAGAGGAAAGAGAAAGAAACATCAATGTGTGAGCAAAACATTGATCAGCTGCCTCCTGCATGCCTGTCCCCTTGGGGATTGACCTCTCAGCTCAGGCATGTGCCCTGACTGGGAATTGAACCAGTGACCTTTCAGTGCATGGGATAACTGAGCCACACTGGCCAGGGCAAAAGAGTTTTTCATAATAGGAGTAAGTGTCTGAAAGTCTCTTTTTTTGTGTGTTTTTCTTCCTAGTAATACTTTGTACCTTGATAAAGGTAAATTTTTAGCCTAGTGGGTCTCAGAATTCTTTTGCACAGTTAAAAATTAAGAATTTCAATGAGTTGTTGTTTATGTATATTATAGTTGGCAGTGGGCTGGCAGATGTTTAACAACCAGCTCTCCAAGAAAAACCCCTGATTTTGTGGTAGCATTTACCAGTTTTTGTGGTGTAAATACTTCCACCATGGCCAGGTTTCTTTTATCAATATGGCACCTCTACACACAGAAGTGGAAATAGGTGTGCACCATCTGACACATGTCTGCATCCATGAAATCCCTTTAATCAAGATAATGAAGATACCCACCACCCCTAAAAGTTTCCTTGTTCTCTTTATAATTCCTCTCGCTAGTCCTGTCGTTCCCAGGCAGTCACTGATTGGCTTTCTCACTGTAGATTAGTTTGAATTTCCTAGAATTATGTAAAAATGGACCCATACCATATATGTACTTTTTAATTTGTTGTTCATCATCATTTTGAGATTTATCCAAGTGTGTGCATCAGTAATTCCTTTTTTATTATTGAATAATAGTCTGTTGTATGGATATACCATCATTTCTCCACCTGTGGATAAGCTTTTGAGTTTCCAGTTTTTGGCTATTACAAATAAAGCTTCTTGTACAAGTTGTTCATTTCTCTTGAATCTGTCTAGGAGTTGATTGAAATGGTGGGATCATACATGCATTTCACTCCCAAACTTTCTGAAGGTGACTGTCATTATACAGCACTGCCAGCAGCCTCTCCGAGTCCCAGCGTGCTCCGCGTCCTCACCAGCACATGGTGTGATTAGTCTTTTTCATTTCATCCATTTTAATGGGCATGTAATGTTTCATTGTGGTTTTAATTTGTGTTTCCCTAACCACTAATGATGCTGAGTATCTTTTTGTTTTTTGAGATAGTAAATATAGATTTTTTATTTTTTTAATTTTATTTTTGTTACAGATGTTTCTCCTTTTTTACCCCATTGGCACCCTCCTCCCCATCCCCCCCGCCCCGTCCCCGGCTTAGTTGTCCATATCCATTGGTCATGCATACATGCATATAAGTTCTGTGGTTTATCTCTTCCCATCTCCCCACCCCCTCTTCTGAGGGTTGTCAGTCTGTGCCCTACTTCCATGTTTCTGGGTCTACTGTATTCCTCAGACTGTTATGTCCACTATATTTCTTATATAAGTGAGATCATGTGGTATTTGTCTTTTTCTGCTTGGCTTGTTTCACTTAGGATAATACTTGATGCTGAGTATCTTTTCATGTGCTTTCTTGCTTATCTGTATATTTTCTTTAGTAAAGTGTCTCTTTATATCTTCCCCTCATATTTTTTTTTTTATCCTCACCGGAGGACATTTTTTCATTTTTTGTTCAGATAGAGTGGGAGGGAGAGAGAGAGAGGGGGAAACATTCACGTGAAAGGTACACATCGAGTGGCTGCCACCCGCACCACTCAACCAGGGTGGGGGACAAACTGCAACTGAGATATGTGCCCTTAGTGGGAACCGAACCCGGGTCTCTCTGGATCGCAGGCCAAAGCTCTAACCGCTGAGCCAGAACGGCCAGGGCTTCCCCCTATTTTTATTGGGTTATTTATCTTATTGATTAGTATGAGTTCTTTGTATACTCTAGATAAAAGTCTTTTTTCAGGCATTACGTTTTGCAAATATCTTCTCCAAGTCTGAGAAAAAAAAATGTCTTTTCATTTTTTTAAAAGTATTGCATAAAGCACAAAAGTATTTAATTTTCATGAAGGCTGATTAATTTTATTTTTCTTTTGAACTTTTTCTTATTTAAGTTGTATTTATGTAAATGTATTATGTAAATCATCAGGTCAAAGTTCACTAAGACTTTATCTTGTATTTAAGTCTATAATTCATTTTTAATTGTTAATTTTTATATATGGTGTGGGTCAAGAATTTTTTTTTCTTATTCTGCCTATTGTAGCCAGTTGTCCCAGCACCATTTGTTGGAAAGATTATGCTATACCTATTGAGTATCCTTAATGCCTTTAGTACAAGTGAATTGACCTACATATCCCAATCTGCACTTTTTTATGTCATCATCTATTTGTCTTTTTTTTTTTTAATTGTTTTTTTTTTTTTTGGTATGTGCCCCTAGCGGGAACCGAACCCAGGACTCTCTGGTCCACAGGCTGATGCTCCATGCTCCAACCGCTGAGCCACACTGGCCAGGGCTATTTGTCTGTCTTTATACCACTAACTAACTGTGTTGATTACTGTGTCTTTATAATAAGTCTTAAAGTCATGTAAAATTAGTTCTCTAACTTTTTTTTTCAAAGTTGTTTTGACTATTCTAAGTCCTTTGTATTTCTCTGTAAATTTCAGAACCAGGTTGTAAATTTTTATATAAAAGTCTCTAGGGCCCGGCCCGTGTGGCTCAGTGGTAACCCATGCACCAAGAGGTCGCCAGTTCGATTTCCGGTCAGGACACATGCCCAGGTTGTGGGCCCGATCTCCAGTGGGAGGCATGCAGGAGGCAGCCATTCGATGTTCTCATTGATGTTTCTCTCTCTCTCTCTCTCCCTCTCCCTTCTTCTGTCTCTAAAATCAATAAAGAAAAAAGAAATTAAAAAAAAAGTCTCTAGGGATTTTGATTGGATTGCAAGGACTCTAGAGCAGTTTGATGGAAAATTGACATTTTGACCATACTGACACGTGAACATGAGATGTCTCCTCAGTTATGTAGGCCTTTAATTTCTGTTAGCAGCGTTTGGTGGTTTCACTGTAAGTAATGCAATTTGTTAGTCAAATGTATCCCCAAGGACTGCAGTTTTTTGATGCTGTAGTACTGTTTTGTACACTTTAATTTCCAATCTCTCACTGCCAGCATATAAAGTATAATTTATTTCTCTATTTTATCTTCTATCCTACAACATTACTAAACTCTGATGTTAGCACCTTTTTTTTTTTTTTGAGGTAGATTCCATATGATTTTTATATAGGTGAGAATGTCTGCAAAATAAGACAGTTTATAAATAAATAAGCTTCTTTCGCTCCAGTCTGGCTCCCCTATACTTTTTTCTGGCTTATGGCATTGGCTACACCTTTCAGTACAGTGTTCAATAGAAAAGTACCGAGTGGACGTGTTTTTTTTGGTCCTGATCTAATGGAGAAAACATTTAACCTTTCATAGGTGCCCTTGATCAGACTGGGGAAATTCCCTTCTGTTCCTAGCGAGTGGAGAGTTTTTATCAGGAAGAGATGCTAGATTGTTTCCAATGCCTTTTCTGCCTTTACTGAGATGAGTATATCTTTTTTTCTTTAGTCTGTTTTTATCATGAATTACATTGATTTTGCAATGGTAAACCAACCTAATGTTTCTGGGATAAATTTCACTTGACAACAATATATTAAATTAAGGTTCTTTTTGCCCTAGCCAGTTTGGCTCAGATTGGAGTATTGGCCCACATACCAAATGGTCTCGGATTTGATCCTGGTCAAGGGCACATGCCTGGGTTGCAGGTTTCTCTGGTCCTGACCAGGGTTGTGACGGAGGCAACCAATTGATGTGTCTCTCTCAATATCAATGTTTCTCTCTCTACCTCCCTTTCACTCTCTCTTTAAAAAAACAAAAGAAAAAAAAAAAAAAGGTTTTTTTTTTTTATTGTTGGATTTGATTTGCTAATATTTTAAGAATTTTTGCATCAGCCCTGGCTGGATAGCTCATTTAGTTAGAGCATTGTCCTGATATGCCAAAGTTGTGGTTCAATCCCCAGTCAGGGCACATACAAGAATCAACCAATGAATACATAAATAAGTGGGACAACAAATCAATGTTTCTTTCTCTCACTCTCTCCCTCTTTCTCTCTCCCTCCCTTCCTCTCTTCTTCCCCCCTTCCTCTCTAAAAATGAATAAAAATAAAATTAAACATTTTGCATCTATGTTCATAAGGGATATTGATCTATAGTTGTTTGTTTTCTTGTACTACTTTCGTCAGATTTATGTCTCAGGGGCTGCTGGCCTCATATAATGACTTGGGAAGTATTCAGTCCTCTTCAGTGGTCTGGGAAAACTGTGATAATTGTTTGCATCTTGCCTCCAAATTTTGATTATTCTAGCCAGAGGTTTATAAGTTTTATTTATCTTTTCATAGAATCAGCTTTTGGTTCCATTGATTTTTATGATTTTCAAATTTTTTTTTATTAATTTCTGATCTTATTATTTTTCTGCTTGCTTTGGATTTCCTTTGCTCTTAAATTTTTCTTAAAGTGGATGGTGAGGGTCAATGAAGATTTTTCCTTCTTTCCAATAGGTGTTTAGTGCTATAAAATTTCCATTAAGGATTGCTTTAGTTGCATCCCCAATCTTAGATATGTTCTGTTTTTATCTCCATCCAGTTTAAAATAGTATAATTTCTCTTTTGATTTTTTTTTTTGTAATCCAAGGGTTATTTGTGTTAATTTAGTTTCTAAATATTGGAATTTTCCAAATCACTTTTACTGATTTCTAATTTGATTCCACTGTGGCCAGATAACATCCCTGTGTAATTTGAATTCTTTTAAATATATTGAGACTTGTTTTACAGCCTAGAGTATGATCTCTTTTAGTAAATGTTCCATGTGCAGTTAAAAAGAATGTATTTTCTGCAGTTGTTTTGCAGAGTGTTCTATAAATGTCAAAACAGTCACATTGGTTGTTAGTGTTTTTAAGTCTTCTATATCTGTACTGATTTTCTAATATTTCATTAAGTTAACAGAGGGGTTTTTATATCTCTAGGTATAATTGTGGATTTGTCTATTTATCATTACAGTTTTATCAGTTTTTTCTTCATGTATTCTGCATTTGATCTTAGCCAAAAGTTGAGAAGGAATTCTCTTTATGTATTCTGAAGCTTTATTAAGTGCATAAATTATTAGGTGTGTTCTATCATCTTGATAAATTGAGCCTTTTCCCACTATGGTATAGCTCTGTATTACTTTTTGTTCTAAAATGACTTTGATATTAATGCCACTCCAACTTTCTTTTGATTGGTGTTATGTATTTTTTTCCATCTATCCTTTTAACTTTTATTTTTATTTATTTACTTTATACTCACCTGAGGACATTTTTCCATTTTTTGTTCAGATAGAGTGGGAGGGAGAGAGAAGAAGAGAGAGAGAGAGAGAGAAACATCGACGTGAAAGGGACACATTGAGTGGCTGCCACCCGCACGACCCAACCAGGGCTGGGGACAAACTGCAACCGAGGTACATGCCCTTAGCGGGAACCGAACCCGTGTCTCTCTGGACCGCGGGTCAAAGCTCTAACCGCTGAGCCAAACTGGCCAGGCCTATCCTTTTAACTTTTAAAAAATTATATTTATTGGGGTAACGTGGATTTATAATAACATTATATAAGTTTCAGGTGTATATCTATACTGTTGTTATAGGTGGGGAGAGGTCCTCAGCCCCACCAGCTGTGGGAGTGGGCTTCTTGGCGATATCCCAAGAATGAGACATTCTGAGACTTGCATAGGAGGATGAGATGTTATAAAAGGCTTTATTTCTGTGGGATTACACCCCTGAGTTTCCAAGGTCCCATCCCCCCACCCCCACCCCAAGGAAGAAATATAGCTGTGATTTCGGTAGGGCTAGAATCAGAGCCTGGGTTCAGAGTTTCTGTTCCATGTTAGGGCATAGTCCAGTCCAGCATCAGTATGGCTTAGTTTGTGTTTCCTGCTGCAGTCCATCAGTCCATTGTATATGGGGTCCTCATAACCATGGGCCATTTGGGCCAGTGCAAGGAAGCAGAAGCAAAGCCAAAGAAACCAGAGAGCTGAGAGAGAACAAACTCCTTTGCAAGATTGTGTATTCCCAAATTTCATGGGTTTGCATTGGCTTCACCCATTCTGGCCAATGATCTCTGTTCCCAGGTTTGACTGACAGGCAATTTCCCTAGTCACTCCAACTTCACTGCATCTGTCTCCCTTTTGTTGGGCCCCCTTCCCCTAGTGATCTGTGGGAATGGGCTGGTGGTTCCCTGGTGAAGCTGCCCAAATGACATGCTTATAATGTCTGGCCTCCCTTTTTCTCCTTTTCTATTATTAACAACTAGCTAATTACAGTGATATCACTATGATGTCTATAATTGACCCCTTTACCCTCTCCTCCTCTCACCCTTCTTCCCCTCTGGTAACCACCATTCTGTTGACTGTATCTTTGAGCTTTTTTATTTGTTCTTTTTTTTTCTTTTTATTAATTTGTTTTTGTTACAGATGTTTCTCATTTTTCAATTTGTTGCTTTTGTTTTACACCCACAAATATAAGTGAAATACAGTTCTTCTCTTCTGTCTGACTTATTTCACTTAGCATAATACTCTCATGACCCATCCATGTTGTCATAATGGTAATGTTTGTTCTTTTATATGGCTGAGTAGTATTCCACTGTATGTATGTACCATATCTTCTTTATTAAGTTATCCAAAGAAGGACACTTAAGTTGTTCCCATGTTTTTGCTATTGTGACTAATACTGCAGTGAACATAGGGATATGTACATCTTTACAAGTGTTTAAAAGTTTTTTAGGTAGATACCTATAAGAGGAATTGCTGGATTATATGGTAGCTCTATTTTTAATTTTTTTTGAGGGACCTTTATATTGCTTTCCACAGTGACTGCACCAATTTATATGTCCACCACCAGTGTGCCAGGGTTCCCTTTTCTCCACATCCTCTCCAACACTTAGTATTTCTTGTCATTGATGATAGCCATTCTAACAGGTGTGAGGTGGTATCTCATTGAGGTTTTGATTTGCATTTCCCTTATAACTACTAATGTTGAACATCTTTTCATATATCTGTTGGCCTCCTGTTTGTCTTTCTTGGAAAAGTGTCTGTTCATTTCCTCTACCTATTTTTTATTTTTATGTATTTATTCATTTTTTTTGTGTGTGGTACATGCCCCTAACAGGAACCAAACCCAGGACTCTCTGATCCGCAGGCAGATGCTCAACCGCTGAGCCAAACTGGCCAGGGCTTTATATTTTTATTTTTTATTTTTATCCTCACCACTCGAGGACATTTTTCCATTTTTTGTTTAGATAGAGTGGGAGGGAGAGAGAGAGAGAGAAACATTGATGTGAAAGGGACACATCAAGTGGTTGCCGTCCACATGACCAACCAGGGCCGGGGACAAACTGCAACCGAAGTACACACCCTTAGCAGGAACCGAACCCGGGTCTCTCTGGACCACAGGCCGACGCTCCAACCACTGAGCCAAACTGGCCAGGGCTCCTCTACCTACTTTTTAACTGGGTTGTTTATTTTTGTTGTTGAGTTGTATGACTTCTTTATACATTTTAGATATTAGTCCCTTGTCAAAAGTATCATTTGCAATAATTCTGTTCCATTTGGTTGCTTGCCTTTTTGTTTGTTTGTTTATTATTTCTTTTGCTGTGCAGAAGCATTTTAATTTGATGTAGTCCCATTTTATTTTTGCTTTTATTTCCTTTGCCTTTGGGGATGAGTTTACAAAAACATCTCTGAGACCAAGGTCCATAAGTTTAGTGCCTATATTTTCTTCTATGTATTTTACTGTTTCAGGTCTTAGATTATATTTAATCTTTAATCCATTTTGAGTTAAATTTTTGGCATGGTGTTAGATAGCAGCCTACTTTCATTCTTTTGCATGTGGCTTTCCAGTTTTCCCCAACACCATTTATTGAAGAGACTTATCCCTTCTCCATTGTATGTTTTTGGCTCTTTTGTTGGAAATTCGTTGCCTATATGTGTGTGGGTTTATTTCTGGACTCTCAGTTCTGTTCCATTGGCCTGTGTTTTGCCAGTACCATGTTGTTTTGATTGTTATAGTTTTATAGTATAGTTTGAAGTCAAGGAGTGTGATGCTTCTGCCTTTGTACTTTTTTTCTCAGGATTGCTTTGGCTATTTGGGGGTCTTTTGAAATCTTGTACAAATTTGAGGATTTTTTTTTGTTCTATTTCTGTGAAAAATGCCATTGGAATTTTGATGGGGATTGCATTAAATCTGTATACTGCTTTAGGTAATATGGTTTTTTTAACAATGCTAATTCTTTCAGTCCATGAACACAGGATATCTTTCAATTTTTGTGTGTGTGTGTATTCAATTTCTTTCAACAGTGTCTCATAGTTTTCAGTGTAGAGGCCCTTCACCTCTTTTGTTAAATTTACTCCTAGGTATTTTTTCATCCTTTCTGTTGTAGTTTTTTATGTGATTTTTTTCTTCGTTTCTCTTTTGATACTTTATTGTGAGCACATAGGAGCAAAATGGATTTTGTATGTTGATTTTATATCCTGTAACTTTATTGTATTTGTTTATTATTTCTAAAAGTTTTTGGTGGAGTCTTTAGGGTTATCTATATATAGAACCATGTCATCTGCAAATAGTGATAGTTTTACTTCTTCACTCCTAGTTTGGATGCCTTTTATTTCTTTATCTTGTCTAATTGCTCTGGCTAGGACATCCACTACTATGTTGAATAAGTGACAGGAGTGGGCATTCTTGTTGCTGATTTTAGAGGAAATCTTTCAGTTTTTCTACCACTGAGAAGAATGTTAGCTGAGGGTTTGTCATATATGACCTTTATTATGCTGAGGTACTTTGCTTCTGTACCCATTTTATTGAGTATTTTTTTTTATCACAAATGTATGTTGTTTCTTGTCAAATGCTTTTTCTGCATCTATTGACATGACCATATGCTTGATTTGCAGATGTTGAACCATTCTTGCATCACTGGAATGAGACTTGATCATGCATGATGTGTGATTCTCTTAAAGTATTGTTACATTTGATTTGCTAGTATTTAGTTCAAGATTTTTGTATCTCTATTAGAGGTATTGGCTTGTAATTTTTTGGAATCAGGGTAATGTTGGCATCATAAAATGAGTTAGTAAGTATTCCCACCTTTTCAATTTTTTTTTAGAAGAGGTTGACAAGGATTGTATTAAAGGTATTAAATTTTGTTCGAATGTTTGGTAGAATTTACCAGTGAAGCCATCTGGTCCTGGACTTTTGTGTTTTTTGGGAGAGGTTATTTTTCTTTTCTTTCTTACTGAATTATTGGGATGACATTGGTTAATAAAATTATATAGGTTTCAGGGGTAAATTCTATAATACATTATCTGTATATTGTATTGTGTATTCACCACCCCAAGTCAAGTCTCCTTCCATCATCATTTATCCCCTCTTTACCGTCTTGTACCTCTCCACACCTCCTTTTCCTGTGGTAATCACCATACTGTTGTCTGGGTCTAAAAGTTGTTGTTGCTTAATCCCTTTACCTTTTTCACCAGCTTCTCCCCTCAGACAGCTGTTGGTCTGTTCTCTATCTGTGAGTCTGTTTCTATTTTGTTTGTTAATTTTGTTCACTAGATTCCACATACGAGTGCAGTTATATGGTACTTGTCTTGGGAGGTTTTTTTATTTCTGTTTCCCTCCCTCCCTCCCTCCCTCCCTCCCTTCTTCCCTTCCTTCTTTCCTTCCTTCCGTTCATCTGTCCATCAATTTATTACAAAGATTGATTTTAAACATCTGCAATGGTAACTTCAACCTCAACTCCTGGCTCAGTACTGATGGAAGTAATTTGCTTAACAATCTCGGAAGGACAGTACAGGCCAATGAGTCGCCTGTGGATCTTTATCTGAAAATGATTCCAAGTCTGTGCACCCAAAACTAATACAAAATAATATTGAAAAACTTCCTGTGGAGTCTTGGTAGGTATCTGGACTGGTCCTTTCACCTTGAGATTCTTTTCCTTTGTGCCTCTCACCAAGTTAGTACACACCTTCTCCAAAGATTTTACATTGCACCTTCTTAGAGTAATTCTGATTTGGTGAGTCACCACCTCTGGTTCCATGGGTGTACTTCCTGTATCCTTTCGAGCCTTGTCTGCTGTGTGGCTTCCTGACCAGATTGTCCCTCTGTGAGAGAACAGCAATGAGTCAGGAGCAGGAGTGGGTGGAATGGAGCTGCACTGCAGCTGCAACCCAGTATTCCTCAGAGCGGATGACTACTTCACTCTCCTTCCTAGTGATCGCTCTGTTTAAGTGTTCCAGTTCTTAGTGATTTGGTCTAGGAATGCTGTGTATTTCTAAGAATTTGTCCATTATCTCTAAATTATTGAATTGGTGACATAGAGCTTTTCATAGTATTCTCATATAAGCCCATGTATTATTGTGGTATGATTTGTAACTTCTCTTTCTGATTTTATTTATTTTCCAGGTTATTGAATATGATGGCATGAGGTTTTCATAATATTCTTGTGTAAGCCTTTGTATTTCTCTAGTGTGCATTGTAACTTCTCTTTCATTTCTGATTTTATTTTATTTTTTATTAATTTTTGTTACAGATGTTTCTCCTTTTTCCCCCACTGATTACCCCCTCCCTCTCCCTCCCCGCCCTGTCCCCAGTTTGCTGTCCATGTCCACCGTTCATGCATACATGCATATAAGTTCTGTGGTTTATCTCTTCCCCACCACCCCCTCTTCTGGGGATTGTCAGTCTGTACCCCACTTCCACGTCTCTGGGACTACCCCATTCCTCAGACTGTTATTTCTGATTTTATTTAAGTGGGTTTTTTTTCTTTGTTGAGTCTGGCCAGAGGTTTTCTAGTTTTATCTTTTCAAAGAATCACCTATTTGTTTCATTAATTTTTTTCTTTTTATCATTTATTCTGTTATTTCCTTCCTTCTGCTATCTCTGAGCTTTGTTAATTCTTCCTTTTCTAGCTCCTAAAAGTGCGATGTTAGATTGTTTATTTGAGATTTTTCTAGTTTCTTGAGAGAGGCCTATAATGCTGTAACCTCCTTCAACTGCTTTTGCTGCATCCCAAAAATTTTGGTATGACTTATTTCCATTGGTCTCTGTGTATCTTCTGATCTTTCATGTCTTCTTTGACCCAGTCATTGTTTAATAGTATGTTGTTTAATCTCCACATTTTTGTGGGTTTTCCATCTTTCTTCTTGTAGTTAATTTTTAGTTTCATACCATTGTGGTCAGAAAACATGCTTGATATGATTTCAGTCTTCTTAAATTAATGAGACTAGTTTTGTGCCCCAACATTTGGTTTGTTCTTGAGACTGTTCCTTGTGCACTTGAGAAGAAGGTGTATTTTGTCATTTTGTGATGGAAAGTTCTACAAATATGGATTAAGTCCATTTGTTCTCATGTGTCATTTAAGGCTGATATTTCCTGTATGGATAATCTGTCCATGGCTATCAGTGGAATATTCAGGTCCCCTACTATAACTGTACTTTCTGTCAGTTTTGCCCTTTAATTCTGTTAGTATTTGCTTCATAGATTGGGTGCATATATATTGATAAGTGTTATGTCTTAAGAGTTGTCCCCTTTATCATGATAAAATATCCATCTTTGTTTCTTGTTACCTTTTTAAATCTTTTTTATTGTGAATGTCATTATTTTACAGTTTATATTTAGTATTATTTTATGTTAGTTTCAGGTGTATGGTGTAGTGGTTACAAAGTGGTCCCCTCCTATATTTTAAGTACCCACCTGGCACCATACATACCTATTAAAATATTATTGGCTAGATGCCTTATTTACATCCCTGTGACTGTTTTGTAACTACCAATTTGTAGTTCTTAATCTCTTCACTGTTTCAACCCAGCCTCCTAATCCCCCTCCCTTCTGGCAAGCATTAGCTTGTTCTCTGTATCTGAGTTTGATTCTATTTTGTTCATTTATTTTGTTCTTTAAATTCCACATATAAGTGAAAACATATGGTATTTGTATTTCTCTGTCTGACTTATTTCACTTAGCTTAATATCCTCTAGGTCCATCCAGGCTATCGCACATGGTAAGATTTCATTCTTTCTTATGGCCGAGTAATATTCCATTGGTTATATGTACCAGAACTTTTTATCCACTCTTCCATTGATATGCACTTATGTTGTTGTTTCCATAGCTTGGCTATTGTAAATAATGCTGCAATGAACATACGGGTGCGTGTATTCTTTCAAATTAGTGTTTTGGGTTTCTTTGGATAAATTCTCAGAAGTGGGATCACGGGGTCATAAGGCAATTCCATTTTTAATTTTTTGAGGGACCTCCATACTGTTTTCCACAGTGACAGCACTAATCTACCCACCAACAGCACACAAGGGTTTCCTTTTCTCCCCATCCTCACCAAAACTTGTTGATTTATTGATAGTAACCATTCTGACAGGTGTGAGGTGATATTGTGGTTATAATTTTATTTTTCTGATGATTAGTGACATTGAACATCTTTTCATGTGTCTATTGGCCATCAGTATGTTCTCTCCAGAGAAGTGTCTATTCAATTTTTTAATTGTTTATTCAATTGGATTGTTTGGGTTATTTTGGTGTTGAGTTCTTTATAAATTTCGAATATTAACACCTTACCTTTTAAAATTTTGAAATCTCTTTTGTCTGGTATAAGTAGTACTACACCTGCCATTCTCTGGATGCCATTTGTTTGAGGTATCATCTTCCACCCTTTCACTGTGAGCCTATGTTTGGAGCTACATTGAGTCTCCTGTAGGCAACATATAGTTGGGTCTTGTTTTTTAATCCATCCTGCTACTCTGTGCCTTTTGATTTGTGAGTTCAGTTGATTTACATTGTGGATGATTGTTGATATATAAAGACTTACTATAGCCATGTGGTCTTTTGCTTTCTGATTGCTCTATATCTCCGTTGTTTCTTTTCCCTTGTGATTGTGCTATTTTAGTTTGGCAGTGTTGTATGATTTTTTTCCTGTTCCCTCCTTTTTTATGTATGTGTCTCAGCTCTGTATTTTTGTTTTGTGATTACCGTTAGATTTGTGTAGAATATCTCATACATAAAATAGTCATTTTTCTCATTACCTTTTACCTCCTATCATTTGTAACCATTCACTCCTTTTCTTCCTCCTTTTTATTTTGTTGTCACAAAGTATTCCTTTTTATTTGTGCATTCATTACCAAATTAGAGTAGTTATAGTTATTTTCAGTACCCCTTTCCCTCCTTAAACCTGTTACAACTGTTTAATATCCTATTCTGAAAGATTTATAGTTTTCTGCTTCTGTTTGTAAGTCATCTTACTCAAGGCTTAGAATAATTGTCTTTGTTTCCAGTAGAAGAGCTCCTTTGAACAATTCTTGTAATGCAGCCTCTTGGTGGTAAATACTCTTAGTTTTTGTTCATCTGGGAAAGCCTTTATTTCTCCTTCATATCTAAAGCATTTAGATACCTTTGCTGAGTATATTATCTTTGGCTGATGGTTTCTATCTTTTAGTATTTTGAATATTTCCTTCCAGTCCTGTCTTGTAATGTTTCTACTGGGAAATCATATGAAACTCTAATGGGGTTTCCTTTGTAAGTTATACTTTTTTTCCTCCTGGCTACCTTGAGAATTCTTTCTTTGTCATTTATTTTGACAGTTTGAATAAAATATGTCTTGGAGAACATCTTTTTGCATTGATATAATTAGATGTTCTGTTAGCTTTCCCTATTCTAGAGTTCAGTTATTTCCTTAGGGAAGTTCTCATCAGTTTCTTTGAGTAGGCACTCTGTTTCCTTCTCCTTGTCTTCCCCCTCTAGTTTACCTGTTGTTCTTAAGTTGCTCATTTGTTTGTTTGTTTTGCACTGTAATATTATTTGTAACATCCAGAGTTTATAATATGAGAGTCAGAGCTATCTCCCAGACTCTAGTTTATAAAGTCTCAATTGGCTTCTGAGACCAGTAGGGATACTTATTCTTGTGTTATTGGTTTATTGAAGACTTCATTCAAATCCTCAATGGTCACATGATTAAATAAAATTATGTTCTTCATCTTCTCCAACTCTCTCATATTGCTCAATTCTGGTCTTTGAAAGAGACAAAAACTCAGCACAACTTTTCACATCTTATTTACTTCAGCATCCACCAGGCACTATACTTATCCTCTGGCACAAGGACCTTCAGGGCATTAAACTTTTTCTTAAAGTCATCTACCAAGCCAGCCTTCACTACATGGTCTTGTAGTAAGCCCAGTTGATAGCAGATGGATTCTCAGGTAGAGTAGCCAATCTTGGGGGGGCTGGAGTCTTATTCCAGGATTACAGGCAGTTAGCAGTAGCCTTCTGGTCTCAGGATATAATCTCCCCAAAAGCTACAGTCAATGGCTTTCTGAGCAAGTTTTCATCCAGCCATCCTTGAGATCCGTCACAGACCCCAGTGGCTCAGTCCACAGCCCCTTGTGTTGCTCTTTCTAATGTAGTCAGTTTTGTTCCCATAGAGGTCTTTTGTTGTACCTCTCTCTTTCCTCCTGGATCATTTCTAGGTTTCTATCTTCAAATTCACTAATTCTGTCTTCCATCATGTCTACTCTGTTTCCAGTGCTCTCTGGTGGATTCTTCTCCTTTACTGAGTTCTTGAACTCCAGAATTTTTTTTTTTATGGTTTTAGTCTTTTTGATAAAGTGCTTCTTTTGTTCATTAATTTTATTACTGAGCTTTTTGAACTGCCTTTCTGAGTTTTCTTGTATATTGTTGAGTTTACTTATAGCTGCAACCTTGAATTCTGTCATTTAGAATACTTCCATGGCTTTCAGTTTCTGGAGATATCATTTTCATTCTGTGCCCACATGTTATCACACTTGTTCATGGTATTTAATGGATTATTTTTTAGCCTGTACATTTGAGGTAGTACTCTTGTCATGTTTAGATATATTTTACTCTTAACAATTCAACAGGTTGGTTGGTAGGGTACTTTCTTTTTACTATGCTGTTTGGGATGTCTCTGCTTTATTTACCAGGCCCTGCCAGAGAGTGTGGGGCACAGCAAGCAAATTAGCAGTCTTTGTTGAGTTAGTTGTTTGACTTAGGGGGCAAACGGTGGAATCCTCTCACTCGACCATGATGCTGATGTCCCATCCATTTAATTTTATAAAGTATTTGTGTCTTCATGTTTAACGTGGGTTTTCTTTATCCAGAATACAACAAGGTCACATTTTTATCCAAGTTAACAATTTGCCTTTTACTTAGGGTGTTTAGACCAATTATGCATGGATAGATTTAAATATACCATCTTTCTATTTTCTATTATTATCCCATTTGTTAGTTTCCTTTTTCCTTCTTTTTTCTCTTGAATTAGCTGAGTATCATTCTATGATTCACTTTCTTTACTTCACTGGATTGTAAACTATAATTCCTTGTTATGTTTATTTAATTGTTGCTTCAGTGTTTATAATATACATGCTTAACATATCACAGTCTTCCTTCAAGTACATACCTATCACTTGGTATGTAAGAATATTACAATAGGGAGGAGAAAAATGGCAGTGGAGTGAATGGAAGCTACAAAGACAATCTCCCAGGACCAAATGGGAATTACAACTAAAAGACAAATTGTCTGAAAAAAGCAACAGAAAAGCAGCGGGAGAGGACCATATAACCAGGGACACGGTAGGATCTGTGGAGGTGCAAAAGGGTGGCGAGCTGGGAGCCCATAGACAGCAGCAGTCTTTGCCAGCATAATTCTAATTCCAAAACCAGAAAAAGACACTGCAAAGAAAGAAAACTGCAAGCCAATATCCCTGATGAACATAGACACCAAAATCCTGAACAAAATACTAGCAAATCGGATCCAGCAATACACCAAAAAAATTATTCACCATGACCAAGTGGGATTCATCCCAGGGATGCAAGACTGGTACAGTATTCACAAATCAATAAATCTGTTACACCACATAAACAAAATGAAAGATAAAAACCATATAATCATATCAATAGATGCTGAAAAAGCATTCAATAAAACCCAGCACACATTTCTGATAAAAACGCTCAGCAATGTGGGAATAGAGAGATCATATCTCGACATAATTGCCATATATGAAAGACCTACAGCCAACATCATATTCAGTGGACAAAACTAAAAGCATTTCCCCTAAGAATGGGAACAAGACAAGGATGCCCACTTTCGCCACTCTTATTTAATATTGTACTGGAAGTCTTAGCCACAGCAATCAAACAAGAAAAAAATAAAAGAGATCCAAATTGAAATGGAGGAAGTGAAACTGTCACTATTTGCAGATGACATGATATTATACATAGAAAATCCTAAAGACTTTGTCAAAATCTTCTAGACTTAATGATTTTGGCAACGTAGCAGGATACAAAATTGACGTCAAGAAATAGCATCCTTTTTTTTGGTCCTTGCTCCTAATAGGGAACCGAATCTGGGACTCTCTGGTCCACAGGCCAACGCTCCAACCACTGAGCCAAACTGGCTGGGGCATCGATGGCATTCTTATACAGCAATGATGAACTCACAGAAAGAGAAACAAACAAAAAAAAACAATCTCGTTTACCTTCGCGGCAAAAATATTAAGATACCTAGGCATAAACTTTACCAAAAAAGTAAAGGACCTAATTGCAGAAATCTACAGGACACTGAAAAAAAAGAAATAGAGGAAGATATAAAAAAGTGGAAGCACATACCTTGCTCATGGGTTGGAAGAATTAACATCATTAAAATATCCATACTACCCAAAACTATCTATAGATTCAATGCAATCCCCATCAAAATACCGAAATACTTCACAGAACTAGAACAAATACTTCAAATGTTTATATGGAACCAAAAAAGGCCCTGAATAGCCAGGACAATCTTGAAAAAGAAGGACAAAGTAGGTGGGGGTCACAATACCAGATTTCAGGTTATACTACAAATCTACTGTAATCAAAAGAGTCAGGTACTGTTTCAAGAACAGACTCGTAGATCAATGGAATAGAACAGAGAACCCAGAAGTTGACCCAAAATATTATGTTCAATTAATATTCGACAAAGATGGTAAGAGCATACAGTGGAGTAAAGACAGCCTCTTTAATAAATGGTGTTGGGAAAATTGGACAGCTACATGCAAAAAAATGAAACTAGACCATCAACTTACACCATACACAAAAATACACTCGAAATGGAAAAAAGACTTAAATGTGACCCGTGTATCCATAAAAATTCTAGAAGAAAATGTAGGCAACAAAATTTTGGACATCATATGCAGCAGAATTTCCACTGATACATCACCTAGGGCAAGAGAAACAAACAAAAATGAACACATGGCACCACATCAAACTCAAAAGCTTCTGCACAGCAAAAGAAACCATCAAAATGGAAAGGCAACCCACATCTGTAACAAGAATAGAATAGAACAGAATAGAATAGAATAGAATAGAATAGAATAGAATAGAATAGAATAGAATAGAATAGAATAGAATAGAATAGAATAGAATATTACAGTAATGTACTCCATTTCACCTCCCTCTGTCATACTTCAACATATGGGAAACCCCATAATAAGTGTTATTTTTATTTATTTTTGTTACAGATGTTTCTCCTTTTTCCCCCCATTGATACTCTCCTCCTCATCCCCCTCACCCTTTTCCCAGCTTTGTTGTCTATGTCCATCGGTTATGTTTATATGCCTATAAGTTCTGTAGTTTATCTCTCCCCTACCACCCCCTCTT